TTACTTCTGGCCGTCCTCTCTCTCTCTCTCTCTCTCTCCTTGGTTCTTCGTCATAGCAATACTCTCTAGTTGTTCTTGTCATCGCGAAATTTTCTGCCGAGAGATCCGGAAGAACGTTCGTATCAAGGACCGATAAATTGTCTTACCTTCTACGGTATCGCTGGCGTAACCGAAAACCGTCAAGAGCAAGATGGACACAACGAAGATCACCGTGAAACTAACCCAGTACTGAGTCTTAGTGTACCCGTTCTTCACGCCAGCGAGTTCCGTCGAGAAATATGCACTCATCAAGCTAACCGGCAGGAACAAAATGGTTGCCTTGGCTAGCAGGATAGTGATCCGAGTGAGCTTCTCAACAGCCTGCGAGTCCTTGAGCGCAATCAGGTTGAAATTCTCGGCCACGTCAGCAAGGAGTCTCGGAAAAAATACATGGAAACTACTCACCAGGAATGTCAAGGACTCTTTCTCAATGAGGCAGTTCTCAATCTCGCTCAAACAGTATAGATTGATGCGATCAACTAGCCGTTCGAAGCGCGCCACAGCCGTCGAGCTCAATTGCACCCCGACCGATTTCTCCGTTGTGTGTTGGAAACACGAATTGCTCATAACGTTCGACTGGCGCATATCCACGGATCCCATATCGCCAAAGGTGGTTCCGTACGGGATTGCAGCTGGTTGAGACGAACGCGCTTCGTCGCGGAGCATCCGTTGCCGTTGCAAGAGGCGCCGCATGATAAGCTCATAGCTCTGATACAATCGTTTGAGAACGGCGAGTCGCCGGCCCAGCCAGTGCAACTCGTTCACTAAATCCACTACCGGACGATCGAGCATTTGTGCTCTCTGTGCGGAGTTGGCCATTATTAGAACATGCCAACAAACCGTGCTACAAGGGCCATGCTAACCAATTTTTCTAAAGCAACACCATATTTGTGTTCTCGCTTTGCGATGAGTCCATAGCTAGACACCCAGTCATCGAATATATAGTAGAAGAGCAGACTCGGTCCATCCTCCTGCTTGATATTGGCTTGATCCGGTCCGAGGTCGCTAAAACGTCTCACCCGAATAGTAATTAGCGACTCGCTCTCGGACATGGCAAAGTGCTGCCTCGAAACCCCAGCGAAGATAAAACGAATGTTTCTGCGCACGATGTCAAGGACTGGCTTGGCTTCATCTATCGGCACTCCCTTTCGTCTTGCGAACGGGTTCTCTTGGATTGAGATTATTGTGCCTGCAAACAAGTCAGCGGCTACACTCGAGAACCGGAAAATGGTGTCATCCTGTGGCTCATACCATCATCGCACTGGATCAGCCAGGTCCAGAGCCGTTTTCCATCCGGGAGGTCTTTTCCGTTTGATTGTGATAGTGTGGGAATCACAAACAACGTATTATAGCCAATACAAGTGTCTGATGGACTGTTAAGTCTTTGTGCTGGCTCAATTTTGGGTGTTGTATACTTACATCGAGGGCCATGGTCCACAGAAGAGAAATGCCAGATTTGGTCCGTGACCTGGGTAAATGTGAGATTCTTGAATGACGCCGACTCGCGGGATTTATCTGGATCGACGAGGTGCTTAAGTGCATTTTCTGCGTCATCCGCTTCGTGCTGGAACGACGGTGCATCACTAGGCGCATGCGAAGTCCTTTTTGTTGGTAATGGGGTAGTTGTAGCTTTGGGTGTAGGATGCACTGGCTCTGTGCACATCATCCCTTGTAGTCGTTCGGATACTCCATAGGATTTGGTAATCGCCTAGAAATCCTTGGTCAGTCACTACCGCTCAAATGCGAATGAGAGTGAACTTCCTACCCTAATGCTTTCCTTCTGCTCCTCTGGTGCCCAGATATTGCTAGAGGATCACGATGTCAGTACACGCTCAAGTATATTTGAAGACTAAGCGCTTACATCCACCGTGTGCCGAAACATTTGTCTCTCTGTCTTATATGTCAGACATTGACTAATGAATGGACCCTATAATGTAGCAAGTTGAATGTCGTGAGACAGACTTACTGGTTTGCTTAGCAACCGTTTCAGCTCATCTGTGCCTAGATCAGATGCACACCATGCCTCTTCGTTCCCGAAATCGAGCACAAAATTCCGGGTAAGAGGATCCTGTAGGGAGCGCATAGCAATGTAGAACTGCGTCTTATCGTCGATATTCTTGAACTTTTCCACAAGTGAGCCCTCGTAGTCAAGACTTGAGTAGTAATCCTGAGGCGCAGTAGAATCGCGCGAATCTGTTGTATGAGACATGATGAAGCAAAACACACTGGTTTCCTAACTTTGAGGGAAAGACTTATAAAAAAAAGCCGGGAAATCAATAGCCAATAGTTGAAAGATCAGCTGTCAAATCAGGAGAGGGAATCGGAGTGGTCAAGCGAAGAGCCCCGAGATCAATGTAAACAACCTTGACCATAGAAAATGTATGTCGGAGTATATCACACGCCGAAAAGTCAAGTCTGAATGTTCTCATCTCACTGGGGTCCGGCCTCAATTAAATCGAAATGCAGGATAATAGCCCCGACGCCAAAGGGGGGTTGGATGACCAGTCATCTGAGGCTGACACTGCCGCCGGTCATATTTTAGCGCTGTGATCAACTGCAGCCCCGTACTAAGTAGTCCGTATGTTAACGACCATGTCAAGTTCGTTTCACATGTCGAGATTTGTCTTTTAATAGATTTTTTAGCTCCCTATTTGCTTATTTGGGGGCTGCTGTGTGATATTCCGGCTGCTTAGCAAAAGCTTGTGTGTTTGTTGGCCATCCGGACGGTTCAAAATATATCAAGCCGAGATCAGAAGATGCTGGACGAGCCCCAAAGATCTAGGTGGATGATTATGTATCCAATGACTAGTAAAATTCAGTCAAGCAAATTGAAATGGGTTTATTTATTCAGGTAGACTACTATGTTCTCTTTAAACTCGGACTCGCGCTAGTAGCTGATCCAGATCTTCGGGGAGATGGGCAAAACAATGAATTTAAGCAGATAAGAGGTCAAAGTCTTGACCACTGTCACCCTACATTAGCATTGTTAAATGGCAAAGATTCGTCCGTGAACAATGGCATAAGGATAATAATTAAAGTAGTGATCGCGACAGTATGAGCGGGTCGGCCATGTGGCGGGGCGATTCGGTCGATGTTTCTACATCTCGTACCCACAAGATCAGTCGTTCACTTATACGGTCTCTGGAAGGCTTTAACGATCCGATTCATCTATGATTTCCAAGATTGGCCTCAGATAGCATTAGGAACTTGATATAATAGATTGTACCGACAATCTTTTGCTTGTTCTTTTCAAATTCGTAGATAATTTTGCACTCTGCAATATACGCTCCTTGTGGTATGGGCATCTTTTGCCCCGATTTTGTATCTAGGGGGAATCACCAAGTGGGTACCCGTCCAGATCTCTTTGTGTACTTCTCATTTCATGCGTGTTCGACGGCTTGACAAGGGCAATTCAGGCTCCCCTAAATCGTAAGAACAGGCCATCATCTGGGGCTTGAGATTCCAAATTCTCGGTGAGAGCAACGACAAGGATTCCGAACGAACTAACGGTTAATGGCAAGGCCCGGCGGTTACTTAGAGCAACAGCAATATCGACATGGTCAAGTAATACGGAGAAGGATCAGGGTTACCGAAATTGATATCCAAGCCGAGCCGACGGTTGCTAGTGCGATTGCTTGTGAGTGAGTAGAATTGAAGTGATGGTAAAGTACTCCGTATCCGTCGAACGTATTGATCCGTCAACGTATTGATCCGTCAACGTGGTGCGCAAGATTACCCCGCGAAGCAGTTTTTGACAGATTTAATGAGATCTAAGCAACTAACAATTATACTATAACAACGATAAGCATCATCCTCAGTCCTCTGTTGTAGTTGTACAGGGGATGTCTTGCCGAAATTAGGGAGGATTGATTCAAGTTTCTGCCTTAGGCCAGAAGATAAGTCATCATGGCCGTCTAGGGCACCGCTAATCCTTATATAGACTAGCGCCAGTCCACACCCACAAGCGGAGAAATTCACGGCCCTCGACAATTTCTTCTCTCAAGCATTCAGCGCAGAGCCATACCATAAGAATTTCAACTTCTTTTGGAAGACTGTAGCAATCATGTCCAAGATCACAGTCGGTACGTTTCAATTTGTGCTCTTTCTTACATCTTGCCACTAACAGCTCTTTTACAGCCGGAGTGCGCCAGAATGTCGAGAACCTTCTCAACTACTCTCTCAATGAGAAGAAGCGTAACTTCAACGAGACCGTTGAGCTTCAGATCGGCCTGAAGAACTACGACCCCCAGCGTGACAAGCGTTTCTCCGGCACCATCAAGCTGCCTACCGTCCCCCGCCCCAACATGGCCATCTGGTGCGTTTCCCCTCGGCAACCCCTCCCGGGACGAAAACTTTTCCTATCCGTTCATGATGCGCGGCGGCGAAGGAAATCTCCAGTTTAAATCAACACAGAGGCTAACAGACGAAATTATAGTATTCTTGGTGACCAGCACGATCTCGACCGTGCTAAGCACCACAACATCGATGCCATGTCTGTTGACGATCTCAAGAAGCTCAACAAGAACAAGAAGCTCATCAAGAAGCTTGCTCGCAAGTACGATGCCTTCCTTGCTTCCGAGGGTCTGATCAAGCAGATTCCCCGTCTCCTCGGTCCCGGTCTCTCCAAGGCCGGAAAGTTCCCTACCCCCGTCTCCCACGCTGAGGACATGGCCGCCAAGGTCACCGACGTCAAGTCCACCATCAAGTTCCAGCTCAAGAAGGTTCTGTGCCTCGGTGTTGCTATCGGCAACGTCGAGATGGAGAAGGAGGCTCTTGTTGCCAACCTGATGCTCGCCATCAACTACCTCGTCTCCCTCCTCAAGAAGGGCTGGCAGAACGTTGGCAGTCTTGTCATCAAGGCTTCCATGTCTCCCCCCCACCGTGTCTACTAGATTATCTGTCGCTTAACTGCGCCGGTGAGATCTATTTTGGGCCTGAGAACTGGGTTTATGTCACAGTCTCACGACTGAAAAAAAATATGAAGCTCATGATCAGTCTCGATTTTCTGTCTCTACGTTGTAATTTGCCTCTGGCACCATGTAGCTGTAGATAAATCTTAGCGTTGTTTTGTACATTCATCTTTATGTGTGAAACAAGAGGCTCTTTTGATACACATATAAGGAATCAAGCTACTGCATGCCTTCCATCAATTCGGTCTTGTCCAGAATCATGCCCCGCATGCCAATGAACTCACGAAGACTTTCCCACTCTTCACCAACCTCCTCGCCTCTCATGTAGGGATCCGTGAAACCCCACGCGACAGCAACTCTATCCATGGCCGCGCGCTCTTCCTCGCGCAACCATCTTTGCCGTAGAGGGATACCAGGAATCCAGACCACTCGCTCCATCTGGTCGTTAGCAGTGGTAATGGCCAAGATGCCCATGGAAGCTGTACCACCAACGTAAGCTAACGTAGCGGCGAACGCAATTCCCGTCGCGACGTTAGGATCCATTGTGTTCTGGAATGTAGCAGCCCATGATGCGAGAGCATAGCAAGCAGCCGGGGCAGCTGTAAGACCAATTATAGGGACACCGGCTTTCTTGAAGATCTTCGCGCGGTGGAAGGCGGGGGCGCAGAACGTGTTGTCGATGATGGCTAGCACGAGCGAGAGGTTCTTCTGTGCAATGGCGACCCCAAGAGCCATGTTAGCCAATCTCGCCGGAACGGCGCTGTTGATACTCTTGGGATTGGCCTTCAGCAACTTCACTGGTGAGCTGCCCTCCTCTGGGACAGGCTTGTAGGCGTAAAGTTGGAAGATTTCAGGGAAGTGCTCAGCCCGTCGCAGCAGGGTCAGGGTCTCGGTGCAGGAGGCTAAAGCTTCAGGTGAAATGAAGACCTTCTCGTCCTTCAAAAGGCCAACAGCGATTTGCGAGACTGAATCTGTCAGTCGTGGGTCCGGGTGTTGTGAGGATTTTGGTTTGCCTTTGCTCTTCGAGGCGGTTTGCTTCTCCTCTAGGTTCAGCAAAGAAGAGATCGCGCTGCCCTCGCCCTTTGAGGATTCCTCACTTTGATCCCGTTCCCGAGAGACAAGAGACTCGGCGACCCGCTGGCATCGATGTAGCAATTCTACAACCACCTCGTTGGAGGCCACCGTGTTTGATTGATGCAGGGTAGATGCATCCCGCGCAATCTCTTTGATTGCAGCCTCTGGGCTTATCTTAGTGGTGGCAGTGGAAGCATATCGGCAGGAAACAAGTAGAGGAGATGCCAATACCAAACTATCGGTTCGTTTCAAGCGTTGGAAACGGAGATTGGGGGCCGCGGCTCGACTCACCCGAACATTGAGTTGACGCGCGATAGGGAGGCCACGACGGGGCGTTGAAGTCGAGAATTGACAAAGTTGACATATCGGGCCCTGTGGCCGGGAGCCTTTATTGGCTATTAGGGAAACTCTTTTCATGGCTGTGGTGTTGAGTAACGCTGTGAGGCAGCTGTTTTTTTTTCCGGATGGGAGAGTCCAAGCGGAGACTTCGCCCCGGCGCTGTCCACTTCCCCGTGCTCGTGCCCTGACGTCTTCTTGCTTCTCTGCCTAACAACTCCATGTTCCTTTTATTCAAGGAACACATCCTTCCAACCTGAATTTTTTTCTGAATTATATGCAATCGTCTACTTGATCATCTCACCACCTGATCTTTAACCATGCCACCTCCACCTCCCCCGCCGCCGCCGCCGCCGCCGGGAGTTTTGGGCGGTCCTCCCCCGCCGCCTCCTCCAGGAGGTCTCCCTGGAAGACCTACTAAAGGACAGGCTAAAGACCGGGTATGTAAACTGGGTGCTTGAGACTCACTGCCGCAAGCAAATAGTCGCTCAAGGAATTCAGTAGCTAACTATAAATAGGGTGCACTTCTTTCTGACATCCACAAGGGCACCAGGCTGAAGAAGGCCGTTACTAATGATCGATCAGCACCTGTAATCGGAGGCTCAGGAGGGGTCTCTGCAGCCCCTCCCGTCGCGAGTGCGCCACCGGTTCCTGGTGCGAGGCCGCCTCCAAGCAGGCTTGCACCGCCTGTACCATCCGGCCCTGCCGCGAATCGATTACGGAGCAACAGCGAAGGAGTTCCTGGAATAGATAGCGCAGCCAGTGCGACGCCACCCCAATTAGGGGGAATATTTGCTGGTGGGATGCCCAAGTTACGCAGTCGTGGAGGTGTCGATACAGGTGCCAATCGAGACTCGCCCTACATCTCTGATTCCGAAGGTGCACGTCAACCACCTGCTGCATCAGCTCCCAAGCCTCCGACAGCTCCCAGACCTCCTGGGGCCAGACCGCCCCCTCGTCCCTCGTCGACAGATCCGCCGACTGCACCACCGGTCAATCCATTGGTTGCCGGCTTGAAGAGGCCTCCCCCGAGACCTGCTGCACGATCCTCATCTACAGTTTTGGCGCCTGCTACAAAGGCCCCCGAAGCGCCGCCTCCACGCGCGCCTCCTCCACCTCCAGTACCGGGCAAGCTTCCACCACCTCCAGCATCAGGCAAATTCCCACCACCGCCTACATGTGGAAAACCATCCGGCCCCCCACCCCCTCCCCCATCAGCCCCCGCAACTCGGGCACCTCCTCCCCCGCCGGCTGCTTCTAGATCGACACCCCCCCTCCCCCATCAGTAGCCCCGCCGTCAATTGCTGCGCAGGCTGCCCGTTCCGCCCTGGGACATTCTTCGCCTTCCCCACCTCCACCACCCCCATCAGCTGCTCCAGGCGCTCCGCCACCGCCTCCAGCTTCACTTCCCGCAGCTCCGCTAACCGAGCCACCTTTCCGACCATCCCCTGTTTCCTCTCACCCTGTCTCCCACGAACCGTTCGCAGCGCTGGACCCTAGTGCGTATACACTTTCCAATGGTGGGTCGTCTGCACCAAGCTCACGAATCCCTTCAACACATGGACATGGCCTAGTCCGAATAGAAGACCCGCGATTTAAATTCCAAGGCGATGGGCTACTCTCCAAACCACGGCAATTTATCGGTGGAGATCGCCGATACCGCGCTGGAAGGGGCAGCAGTGTTCCTTTGGATCTGAGTGCTTTGCGAGGTTAAATGGCGTGCATGGGAAAATTGCGGGCGATATCGTGCACACATAGTGACTTGCTATACATAAATCCTTTTACAATCGAGTCATCTATGTAGATCATTGTCCTTGTAGTGAAATTTGTGCAACAAAATCTATGTTTTCTTATTCGTAAAACTGGTTGGTCTCCTCTCATCAAACAGTATCAAATGATGTAGCATCCACCTCTCCCTTAAGCTTCCGCACGTGATCCAATCGGAGATGTCAATCGTCCGTCGTGGAAAACAACCATGAAGCACTACGACAAGCGCTGCCACCAATCTCTTCGCTTTCAGTCGAGATCATCGACTTGCGTCTTTCTAGAGTTTTGTTGTTATCCTTTACAACACAGGAGGATTCTCGCAATCTGCACTCAAGATTCGACAAACAGCATCAACCCGCTCTGCGCTATTGCCATCACCTCACATTGAATTGGCCTCGAACTTTAAACCAAGCTCCTACAGCTTTGATTTTCCTTGGCAAGTCAACTTTGCCGCGCTACGACTAACCGCGACTAATCCGGTTCTTTAGCTCGTCGGACACACTTGCGCGAAGTGACGGACTCCGAAAGTGAACGAGGATCCACGAACCGTGTCTTGCTCACGCATCGCAAGAGAGCTACCCCGGGCCTAGTGACGAGACCCCTACCGAGTTACAGATACAGCTCGATCCCGACTCAGCGGTGTATCTACCTGTACCTGACCAACCGCAAAATTGAGATACCCTTTACCTTGAACCGCCGTTTCCCCATCCAACATGTCTCTCCACTTTTACGTCAATAGTGAGTTTTGCAGTTAGCTGAAATGCTTTACATATTCCATCGCCCTACATCCATAGATCAAGTGCTGACCAACCTCGACCAAACAGAAAAAGTCCTCATCCTCACAGTTGACGGTCGCACACTCATCGGCGATCTCTTGTCAACCGACCAAACGACGAACCTTGTCCTCGCCAACACCGTTGAACGCATTATCCGCACCCCAGACGACGACGAACCCTCCACTGAAATCGAACATGGGCTGTACTTGATCCGCGGTGACAACGTCGTGATATGCGGTGAAATCGACGAGAAATTGGACGGAGACATCGACTGGTCCAAGGTGAAAGGCGAGGTCATCCGAGACACGAAGAATGCATGAGCGGGGTTTGCATGGTGCTATTTTCCATTGTCATTTTTCGGGCGTTTGGGGGAAACCATCTGCATGCGATACACTGATTCAGCACGCCCATGAATCCTGGAGTTTGCCAGCGTTGCGTGTGATCCTTGACTATTGAATCCACCGTTGCCGGGCGTGGCCCTTGGCCCTACAATGATGCGCAGATACGCTGGGCTGTTGAATGTTGATCTGTCATATTTTCTTTCTGTTCCGTTGGTTGCGAAGCTACACCGATAGTTGACGGGCTGTCGATTGTGTGGTCTCCAGACATCTCCGATGTGGAATGATGCAATGGCCTAAGCACATAGGAGGGGCTGCATGTCGGGACTTGCTATCGATTCGGCATTCTTGCCCCTCAAATGACTTTGCGGGGGCAAGAGCACAGACGATGCCACAACGACAGTGGATTTATAGGGGACTCTACATACTACTTGCCTCTCCCAAGTATGAGTTGTTGGAGGTCCCTACGTTCCCGAGGAATGTGAATTTACATCAAGAATAGGGGTGTCTTCCAATTTTCTACATTCTCTGTAAAAAGGAGTAATTTCCTCCCGGTTACAGCCACATTCTGGACTCCACGCGGGATGATGCCAAGACGACTACTTGGTCCAACAGAGTACGAATTACGGAGCACGAAAGTACCTTTGTAGAACGAAATTGGTTTCAAGACAAAGCCAGATATACAGAACTAGGCCACGTTACAGCCTTCAAAGAGCTGTACGGAACACGTATGATTATGGTACGATGTGCACCCTGGTCACTTAGGCCCCTGTTGGGCCTTGGCGCAGCAAGTTAGGAGATTACTGTGGCCATGTGAGGTGTAGAATGTAGAATAGGCATAAAGATAAAAAAAAAGAAGTACGGAGCACGGAAGTACAATTTGAGTGAATAGTTCATGCATATCTTCATCTGTTCAGGTTAGGCCGCAAACGGTGAAAAATCGAAAAAAAAACTACAAAGACGAAACACAAGGCAGAAACTACCGACGCCCCCTCAGACCTCCCCTAATTCTTCTACCTTTCTTACTTCCTATCTCTCCCATTCTTCACCCTCTCTCGTCGATACAGATCGCTGGGCGATCTCCAACATCTGCGTCAACAGCTCTACATCTCTATTCCGCCCCTTTCCGCTGTTCCCCTCCCCCTATCCGCTCAGCCCTTCATGTGTCCGATGGGATCACTACAACACAAAGAGCGAATACTGGATCATTTACAGCAATTTTCCCGGGCAGATAGTCCGTCGTGAACGACGGTTTTTACAACTTCTAGCTACAAAGCCTCAATAAACCGATATTCCCCACTCTATCCCCCGCGCCAGACATGTGGCTCTTTCGTGGCGCTCAGTCCGCAGTCTTCTACTATGCCTCCTGCACCCCCTGTGCCGAAAATCATGATCGTTGGAAACGTAGACAAGATGCATCCCGGGTCCAGCGGGAGAAGGAGAAGGAACGACACAACAACGAAATCATCACCGACCAACCCCGTCCATTCGCACAACCAACACCTTTCAGTACTAATGTAGGGTGGCGAGAGGAAATCGCCCTGGGCCCTGGTCCTCCCGTCCGGCGGGGTGGTCACCGCAATGTTCAACGAACGGACAGTTTCAATACCGACCGGCGCTCACAACTCAAGAAAGACAAGAGTAGTGGCCTGATGCACCCGCTTGGTGAGAAATGGAAATCAATGCGGTACCAACGGGAAGACGAGCCACTCTGGGGGCAACAAGAAGTCCGTGGATCGTCGATTGGAATTTCTGGACGTGGTCGTGCAGACCCAAATGAACCGTCCAAGTACTACACCCCGCGCGTGCCACCTGTGAACGACCTCCACCCACCGATTGTCAGTGGACCACGTAGCCGGGCCGAAACCAGATGGATGCTCCAGCCACCACCAAGTGCCCGAGTGATGGCTGGCAAGGCAGACGTCAATTCCGTCACTTCGCCAACTAGTGAGAATTTCCGGGGATTTGGGACCATTCCCCCTGCCTCCAAGAGCGCAGCCAGGGAGAACGACACTGGAAGAATCAGCGAGGAGAGTGGCGACGAGGCTTTTGATGACACCACTCAGAACCATCGAACTCATCGGCCATCGCTGACTCGACTCAGTATCGACTCCGATGGTCCAGGCCTAGAACCACACTCTCGAAGTGATTCTATGTTCTCTACCACCAACTCGGATGATTCCCCGAGTCTGGAATGGAAATACCCCGACACCCCCGCATCCCGCCCTCAATCGAAAGCTACAGATGACGATGACAAGTTCTACCGTCCACACCTCTCGAAGGCTCTCTCCACAATGCACAGGGACGACAAGAAGGTCCACATGCTACACCTAGAGATCAGCGATGATAATCGCGATGAGATTGGCCTGGGTCAATTACAGGCTACCCGTCCATGGCGTTGGAGCATGGATATCTAAAAACCTTTCGAACACAATTCCTTCCACCCTCATCCTACCTACCACACTCCTCCTCGAAAACCCGCGCCATCCTCACCTTTCCTGGGGTTCAGCTATAGGGCGTTTGAAGCATCAAGCTCATTCGGCATTGGCTTTTATTGCATTTTATCTTCCCAGGGCTCTCTGACTCTCTCCATCACCCCTTTCCACGTTTGTCGATTGATTCATGATCTCTCGATGCAAACCCCCACCCTCTCGCGCTGCAGGACCCCAGGTCCTACATAGGAATGTACCTGGCTGGCCCGGTATATAAAAGCGAAATGCCTCATATTGCCTGCAACAGTTCCTCCGCTGCTTCACCGCAGTGGCAAGCGAACAGGCAAGTTCACCATGACAGCACTCCTTCCTATCATTTCACACACTTTTCCTTGTTGATTGTTTTGTTTCCCTCAGCACTTTGTGGTCTTCCTCTTCCTTTTTTCTTCCTTCCTTCTTTCCTTCTATTCCTAGATGTTATCTCTCTTCCTTGTACCATAATCACTCCCTCTCCCTGTTTGGGTTATTAGTACATAGCGTTCGACCAATGGATGTTTTTCTTGTCTTTGACCTTGGTTCAGTTCAGATCAAATCGGCAATGTGAATAAATTGCAAAGCTTCCTCCAACCCAAGGGTCCTTAGACAAGTCATCTAGAAGCTGCTATTCTTCATATAAATCTACGGTACGACGGGTTTAAAGAAAGTTCATTTAACACCCCGTCTTCCAAATTATCGAACTGAAATATGAGCCCTATCTTCTGATAACCCATCGTTAGATGTTCTGCTGCAGGACATACAAAGGCCCGGTACTAGCCAATCCTTCTTTGGCAAGAAACTTTCCACATATGAAAGTGTAAGGGGAAATTTAACAATTGCCGACAAGAAGGATAGATAGAGAGGTAGGATTCAAGCTGGCCTCAATACTTCTAGGTACCCTGTCCCATGCCCCGTTAGATACAGCCATTGTACGCTACTATACTTGATGCAATGGGCAAAGGATCATGCAAATATGCGTCGCATTCGGCGTCAAAATTTTGATTCAACTTGTCTTCGTTATAGATGCAGTTCAAATGCCCATCAGAAACATCTCATGCAGAGGACATGTCTTTTCGATCTCGATAAAATAAGAGATCAAGATACAAAAGTTCGAGGTAGAACAGCCCAAAAAAAAAAGACGCAAGAAAGATTAGATAGCTGGATCTCCTCGGCAGTTCAAAATCATCCCAAATGCAAACAACGCCCAACCCGACCACGCAGAGCCTCTGCAAATCAGCTAAGGGTCCGAGGGGGACCCATTCCAAACACTCGGAGCCCGCAGAGCACCAGCCAGGCAGCCCTTTGGTTATTTCTTTCCCTCTTTGCTGCGTTTGCTAAGTAGATGCAGATGCCGGGAGATATAGAGAGAGAAGGGGAATCGTATTTCGATCTCCTGCTGCTCTAATAGACCTTCTTCTTCTCATCCATGCTCAGTTGGCCGGGACCCATGTTGACGAGTAGGACCAAACCACCGCTGTAGTAATTATTAGCGTTGAAGGTGTCTCATTGTTCAGAGAGAGGGGACGTACACAATCGACAAGATTTGGAAGAAGTCGTATTTGGCGAAGTCCTTCTGTGGGTGGTGGGCATGCAGCTAGACGAAATTATCAGTAACCCAAGATACAATCAATCGCCCAACAAACATACCGTCCAGAAGTTGTTGACAAAAACGTTGAACAGACTAAGCAGGACGACCAGAATGATGGCGCTCCACTTGGCCTTGAAGCCAACAACGACCATGACGCAAGCGACAAAACCGAACAAGCTGACCAGAATGCGCCAGAAGCTCCAATCGCCGGAGAAAACGAATCCAATGAAGAGGAAGATCAGCAACACACGTCCAGCGAATTGGACATACATCTTGCGGTCCTTCTCCTCAAGCTGGGGCAGACCGGCCGGGACGAACTTCTTGCGCACCCACGAATCGGACAGGACCATAAGCAGACCGCCCACGACACTGAGATTGCGAAGGAAGAAGTTCAAGTCGAAGATAAGACCGTATCCAAGACCCTGTGAGATGACGACACCAAGCAATCCCGCGACGGCGAACTCAGTGCGCTTGCGGGCGATGACAAGAGTCGAACACACAACCATGGCAATGACGTTGACGATAAGGAAGGTATGCGTGACTCCCCAGGGAACTAAAACCAGCAGAAGAATAGCGCGTTAGACAACGACATAAGAGGTAGTGCGGGACCCTGGACCCTAGGCCGCGCGGGTCAGGGTCCAGGAGCATGGGCATTGTCTTACTCTTCCGGAAATCACGGAGATAAAGGAGCTGGTCGTTCCATTGTGTGAGGATACGCAGCGAGTCTTCAATGAAGGTCACTACGATCAAAAATCGGCCGACGGCGGGAAGGTAGCTAGAGCGAAAGAACAGGGTGTTAGTGCTTGCCTGTAATCCCTTGTTTTGAGCTCTCTCGCGACTCGGGTAGAAAAAAAAAAAGAAAAGAAAAGAAAACCAAAGAGCGAAATTGAAACATACGGCTTCACTGGATCGGCCAAGGTGTCCAACCAGTCCTCAATCTTGCTTGTCTGCTCGCGAATTGCGTCCAGCGGACTTGGGTCGCTGGTGGCATCTGCGCTACCGGGCCCGCCAAACGGGTTCTGGTGGCCGAGATTGTAGCCCGCAGTGCCACGGATCTGGGCCATGGCGGGATAAAGAAACAGAAAGAGATTGAGGAGAAGAAGGAGGAGGAGAAGAAGAAGAACACGGAGTTGATTTCTCACAGGTTGGGGAAAACGTAGTCAAAGACAGGAGCAAATACCAAGGAGTCGTATACAAAGCAACTTCAGGCCACGATGACCGGAACTGGCCACTAAACCGCTTTTGGAATAGTGACGACACAGGCCCTTTATGATGATCTATGTATCATTGAAGATTGTTAGAGAGCTCTACATTCTTGCGCTTTATTTTGTTTTGGATCAAGCACTGGTTAGGATTTCATTGCAATACAGATTTTGTCAGTTAGACTAACATAGAAAAAAAAATTAAAAGAAACATGCACAAACACAGCGTCAGATCCATTCCCGCAATTCTGCTTTTGTTCCCGCAGTGCAGTTCTTCCTCCTTGCACAACTTGCAAGGGGAATCTACCAATTCCGCTCCTAATGCGTGGTGGCAATCTCCTAGGCCCCGATTGTAGAGGGGAGGGAGAGTGCTCAAATGATGTGACACCCCCAGAACGCCAAAAAAAAAAAACAAAAAGGGTAATAAATACATTTCAATATGAAGAGAGACCGAGAGAGATAGAAAGACTTCATAACAGTGGAAACTCCTCATGCAGCCCAGTCAGAGTCCAGTGGGTGACCCTTCTCACGCGAGCGTAAGATGTCGGGGAGGTAGGTCGGGGTCACTGTCACACGAGGCTCAACAGGGGCAGGGGCAACAGGGGTGGACTGGTTCTCCGAGGCACTGGTCTCGCTGACACTCTCGTCAGACCTACCACCCTTCTTCTTGGGCTGCTTCTTGGAAACGGTGGTCCATTCGTCATCGCCGTTGGCAGCTCCCAAAAGGCGCATCTGCTCCTCCTCCGAGGGAAGATTCTGGGCCCACTTAGTAGGAGCAGGGGCTGCAGGGGACTCGAAGGTGTCCAGGAGGCCCTGGGAGGCGGAAGTGGCAGGGACAACGGGTGCGGGGCGAGATCCCCCATTGACCACGCTGGTCTTCACTGGGGCAGTGCTCTCCTTGGTTTGCCAAGCGTTTGTAGCAGGCGCGGTTGATCTGGCAGCCTCGCGGCGCTCGGACTCGCGAGCGGTGTGCAACTGCTTCTCAAGCAGCTTCTTGCGCTCAACTTCGGCCTCCTGAACTTGCTGCTTGCGGGCCTCATTCTTGAGACGCTGCTGACGCTGCTTCTTGGTCTCCACCTCTTTGAAAGTCTGAGCCTTCTGCTTCTTGGGCTGGCTCTCAACATTGCCAGTGACGCGGAGCACAGATGCACCGGGGGCGGGGGCTTCCAGCATGTCGGAAACATATCCGGCCGAGGGGACAGTGGCTTTCACTGCGGGAGAGGCGGCGGGAGACAGATCGTCGTCAGCCTCAGCACCAGTAGTTGAGGAGGCACGGGTGTCGCTGGTCTCGAGCTGCGCAGCCTTCTTCTTGTTCTTCTTCTGGCCCTTGGTGGGAGCGGGCTTGGCAGGAGCGGGCTGAGCAGGAGCGATGGTCTTGAGGCCGGCCATGCGGCGGGCCATCTCCTTGCGGTCGATTTCCTCGTCCGGCTTCTCGTCCTCGGTGGTGGGGGGCGACACGACGGTCTTCACCTCGGATTTCTTGGCGGCAACCGGCTCGGGAGCAGGCTTAGACTTACGCTTTGACTTTTTGGTTGCCACAGTGGCCTCGGTCTTGTCCACGGCAGCTCGAATCACGTTTGCTTTGGGGGTTGTGCCATTGGTGTAGTACCAGCCAAGGCCACCTGCCACAACGAGCAAGATCGCCCAGCTAATGTAGGGATTCATAGTCATAGAGCTGTGCACTCATAAGTCAGTACCATAAACTTTGTCAAGGTGGCTGCGAGCATGGAACTTACTGTCCTATTGAAAGCTATGTATGTGGAGGATGGGTGTTGGTTGAGAGGGGAAGTGGGATCAAAGTTGTCGGGGTGAGAGGGCAAGACAATTGCGCACGCGTACTTTGAAATTGACACACCCGCCAAAAACCGAGGCAATTGCGCTCAGCTATAGAAGCTTTCTGTATCTGGAGGGAAGGTCTTCAAGACGAGACTCCCAAGGCGGTCACTTGACCGTGGTACGCTTGGATGGGAGAATGCGCGGGGTGACAAAGCCGCGGATTAGAGTGATAGGAATGGCGCAATGGCGCAAGAGAGAGGTTGGATAAACAAGAGAAGAAGTTGGAGAGAGTAGAAGATGAGAAAGGAGGAAAGGCGAGGTGTAGAGGAAAGGGCAACCGTGGCAGATCCACTCGTACCGTGACCGTAATGGTAAATTACCAAGCCCTTGGCTTTGGGGAAGCTGCGCATATATACTATACCTTGTCTACTTTGACGTCTTTGTTTTTTTTTGGCCTCAATTCTTCAAGTTTCAATATCTCTTCATGGATTATCTCAGTGTTAACTTGATTATTTCGAAGGATAAAATACAGGTACTTGGAGATGAGGAATGCGATGGAGTACGGTATGGGGATCTGAGCATTGACTGCCGTACGGAGTGCAAGCTGTCATCAATATATTTTGTAATCAAACAGAGTACTTGGAGAACTGTGCTCTAATCCCACAGCTCCAGGTTGTGAGAAGATGGGTATTTTACCTGAACAGGCCACGTCTCCGCCTGTCTGCTCTCCGCTTTCTGCTCCAACCCGATTTATATCTTACTAGCGCGTTCTGAGTCGTAAAAGGATCTCCTGAGCATTTATTTGTTTAACATTCGATTTATCGATTTTTCTAGGAGCCAAAGAAGCTGGAAGATTGCCGATCCAGCAGGGGATCTCTCTTCAAATACTCCGTATTTCTTTTGCCCCTTACAGTAGCCCTCACGCCCACCACGAGGCAAAAAGAAGTCATGCACCGGTCACAACGGACAACCTGGTCCAATTGGTGGGCCAAGTCATGCATTTAACGCCTGTAAAGTATGTCGAATCCTGATCAACGAGTCTAAGACCTGCAGTATGCAGCGGCACCTTGAAAGGAGGACTGGGATTGGTTCGTCGAACCTGCACTCCTTAAATGCAAGTTGAATAAGTCTTCGACATCAGACTAGTCTCTTCCTCCTTTGTGTCCTATTGGCTACATCCTAATCCTTGTATTCTTCTTTGTTCCCATTTTTGCCTTTTGTTCCACTAATTTTTCAAGATTGTCCAGATCACAGAGTATATGATTTCTTTGACCGGCTGACTCCCAAGATCTAAGAACCTTGGAAGCCCTTGTGACTAATGCTAATAGTCCCTCTATCGGTTTCGAATTTTTTGCAAGAAATACTTCCGAAATACTCCAAGTATCTAGCTAGCTATTGTCTTTGTCTTGTACAGGATTCCTATAGGCACATCGTCCAAGTAATCTGATATGACCAGGGTGTCAAATTATACAGATACAAAAGTCTATCAAGGCAAAAGCCGAAAAAGGATATTTCTATGAGATTGAATTGAAGAAGTCAACTTGTCTACCTCATAGATTGAAAGTAATTTCCAAGTCTCTTGATCGGCATGGAGTCATAGCAACAGTGGATAGAAGGGTTCCCTGCCCAGTAGATGTTCGGCATATTGAACAATTATAGAACGGAAACACTTTTAAAATCCCGAATTTCTCGAACGAACTCGCAGTGCCTTTCAAAACCATAGCCGAAGTCCTTATAACATCCCTCAGAGGCAACATAGACGGTGGGCATACATTAAAACACCGAGCTCACGGCCAGCGCATCGGTCAGAGACGCCGGGGGTGAGTCGCTAATCGCATCTGACCTTACTTCCATTGCTATAGCAGCTCGAGGGAGAGAGATCACTGGACTGAGAATCTTTCAAAGAACGACAGACAAACTTACGGAGACCAAGACAGAGGAGCTCCTTTTAGAAATAAACCTTGACCAGCCAACCGGACGCGTGGAGATGATGGCGTATGGAAATGGGAACGCCCAGCATTTCCGCTTTTGGAAGCCCTAAGCCCCCAACGCTCTGATCATCCTCTCTGTCCACGGTGGCAGTTGGCGATCAGGGACATACTTGGTCTCGATTGGGTCGACCAAAGTTCCCTATCTGACCGGCCAAGGCTAGGCTTTTACCACTGTTAACCACACACTCTTCCCGTCTGTGACGGTGGAGGAGTAGGGGCAGGAGGTGGCCGACTCGCAGAGTTACCTGGTTAGAAGTGCGGCCAGGCTAGAGTGTGATCTCCAACTGGTCATTCTGATAGGACACATTTTCAGTGCAAATGCTACTACGCCTTGGCGATCGCGCGACATTGGTTATGAATGACTGGCTCACGGTGCATATGTCAGTAAGAACACCAAGTACTTAGTTTTTTTTCTCTCCCAAGAGCGCTCCACTTCTTGGTGAACAGGCCATTTCCCCCGAAGCTAGGCGTTGAATCTGCCATCTGGTGGGGCGTAGTCCGTCGGCCACCGGGATTTCGGGCCCTAAGCCTTGAATAGTTTATTCTCTTTTGCTCTGAATATTCAACCTACCCCTTTTCGCTTGGAACTGGAATATATCGTAAATGTTATCTTTAACAGTGGGGTTTCTGATTCAACCATTGAAATTGGGTCCAATGTAAAAGTTGCCCACGAGGAGTAAGTAGCCAGACGAAACCCCCGCAGCCGATAACAAAGATAAGCTCCCATTTCTGTCGCAAGGGCTTTCTTCAAAATTTGAAGGTCAACAACATTCACCATGGCAAAGAAGATTATCATTGACACTGATCCGGTATGCTCATTCAAAACTCATTGCCAGAGCTTTGGCATTGATCATAACATAGGGAATTGACGATGTCCTCGCCCTTTTGCTGGCTCTGTCCGCCACACCGGAGGAGGTAGAGGTTCTCCTCATCTCATTGACATTCGGCAACATCGAGGTCGAGAAGTAAGTGATCGTTGGATTTAAAAAGAGGATTGTCTAACCCGATATATAGCTGTCTCCGCAACGCAGTATCAATGTTCCACATCCTCGAGCGGGAAATGCAGTGGCGCCGCGAGAACGGCCGACCCGAAGGCTTTGGCAGCTTGAAAGCTTTCCGTCCTATATTGGCTGTTGGCGCAGAGGACCCCCTTGAAGATCAAAAAATGCTTGCGGACTACTTCCGTATGTATGGTGCTACCAGATACTATAGAGACCATTTGCTGACATTCTCGTAGATGGAATTGACGGACTTGGTGGTATTCACGCAACGGTATGTGGAACCCTATTTGCAACCGGGCTTTGATGGCTTAGAAATAAGTAAACTCTGCTGAATTCTGTATAGCACCCACATCTCACCGCTAATAAGGCATGGGTTCACCTCTTCGCCAAAGAACTGGATGGCGAGGGAATTAAGCCTGTCGAGGATTGTTCGGGTTCCAACGACCACGCATTCACCCCATCCAAGCTTCCGGCACACAAGGAGATTCTCCGCGCGCTCCGTGAAAATGAGCCAGATTCAGTGACTCTGGTGGCAGTTGGCCCGCTCACTAATCTGGCTTTGGCTGCAGCAGAAGACCCAGAGACATTCCTCCGTGTGAAAGAGGTGGTCGTCATGGGTGGTGCTATCAACGAGCCCGGAAATGTGAGCCAAACATTTTCCCGACCCAAGAAAAACCGAGATAGATCAGCTGATATTGTTGATAGGTGACGCCAACAGGGGAGTTCAACGCCTACGCAGACGCAGTGGCAGCCGCGCGCATTTTCGCACTCACCTCGCCCAACCCGCACACGACAGTTCCACCCACAAAGAGTCCCAAACTTCCACCGTACCCCAAAAATCTCAGCCGGCAACTGACCCTGCGTCTTTTCCCGCTGGACATTACTCTCCGCCACAATCTATCACGGGGCCAGTTCCGGGAAGCCATCACACCTCTCTTGGCAGCCGGCTCTCCGCTCGCAGAGTGGGTGGATGCTTTCATGGGACACACTTTCAAGACTTTGGAGCGCCTGCACCCTGGACATGTCGGTGACGATGCTTTGCTGAGTCTGCACGACCCTGTGTGCGTCTGGTATGCTTTGACATCTGAAGACCCGAAGTGGGTTTACTCGGCGAACTCGCCTGAGGATATCCGAATCGATACCTTGGGCCAGTGGACTCGCGGTATGTGCGTTGTCGACCGCCGTAACCGTCACCGTATTGAAGGCGAGGAAGAGAGCTCGAACGACCATGGTCTCTGGCTGAGCGGTCGTGCTGGCAACCGAATCTGGCGGATGGATGGGTCGCCTGTGGAGGAGAACTTTGGTAATGTCATTATTGAGAGGCTTTTCAGGTAATCTCCTTTTGATAGAAAAAGCAGAAGTTATTTGGGAAGTATAGAGGCATATAGCTGTTGATTTTTATAGAGACGAGACTAAATTATGCTTTCTCTTTTTGGACTCTGAGAACATCCCTTGAACAATCCTAAACACTGTTTGGTAGGGCTGACCTATATATGGGTACGTGAATAGTAAGACATTGGCTGAATAAGACGAACTAATAATTCGTCAAATTAGCTCCCGGAAAAGCCATCCGAGGGAGTTAGTCCGTACCCCTGTCAAATCAGGCTATCCATAAGCCACGTAGTCAAGCGTGAAGCCAAGCTTATTTTCTATCTTGGAGTATGGCTGGCTTATTGTCCGGAGATCGCCACTTGCTGGAATGTCAGGACTATGTGAGATGCTGTCATGAACTACACCTATGCGCGCAAACATATCCTTGTGCATCACTTGTGAAAATACCTACAAATAGACCGCCTGTGGACCCATCTACCAGAGAATCCAGGTGGCCAAATCACTAGAGGATTTGACATGGATCTTACATTAAAATTAGTGTTAAATTCTGAGACGAGGCAAGAATCCCTAAAGCCCACAGGAATGTGGAATGTCATAACCTGGAGATCGACCGTGACACTTACTCCTATAGTCGTAATAGAACTGCAAATATGCAATGCTGCACAATCCAGAAGGCTTTTTCCATGTAGCTCGGGTATTGGCCGCCAGCCCCCAGGGCATCGAAGCCGTCAAGCCGTTTCTATATAAGACGGGCTGGTCCAAGGGGAAACTTTCATCGTGAATCTTCGCATCAGATCAATTTTCAGGGCCCATCCACCTTCATAACCTTAGTCTTTTTCCTCTTCTTATTTTTCACATCCTTCTCTACTGTTTCCAACCATGCAGCTCATAACCCTCTTCTTTGTCAGCGTGGCTGCCCTAGCCAGTACCGCCGCTGCAATGCCTCATCTCTCTGCGGCGAACCATGGTGCCCGCATCTTAGTCCATGTGCCTACCAATGCAACCGATTCCCACAATACCACTACAACGGGTACACAGGGCAAAGCTCCCCTGTTGACGGGATCGTCTCATACGAATCGTCCTGGCACCAACCGCTGCCATGAGCTGTGCTCTTTACAATCTCAGACTTGTACAATTGCTGTACCGGACGATGATAAGTTTTGGTGAGAAGCCGTCTTTGGTCTATTTTTTTGGGCAATTTTGTTAACAGACTATTTTAGTTGGTCCATCTACCTGCAATGCACGGAGAAGTGCCACCCTGAGAATTTCCATGAATAAATAGAATTGGTTAATAGGAGGTAGATTGAAGGAGGAATAGAAAGACTTTTGCATGTTCTGGGCTAGGGGTGATGTGAAAGAAGAATCTTTGTTTTTTTTTTTTTTTTACTATGAGCAAACTGAACCTACACCTTCTCGCGCAAATCAGGCACAAGCTTTAAACCCCACCGGTAGATGTTGCTTTTTAGGGAGCAAGTAGCCCTAGAGTAACGAGTATCTACATTTGCAGTCTAGCGTGTGTCACGCAGAGGGAAAAGTTGGACAAGAACTGATGCAGCCAGCCTCAGATTCAATTGAAATGTTGGGGCTATGTCTCTTAACATCCAAACCCGACAAAAGATCGTTCTTGAATCAGTTTGCAAGTATCCACATTTTGACTAGGACAAAGCGTATCCCCAGAGAGAGAGAGCACGTGCCATATGGGGATGGTGTCCGTGGACTTTCAGGAGACTCTCAAATTGTAACCGTGTTTTGAAACAGATATAGGATTTTCCGGGCCAATAGGAAAGATTTAAATGGTTACAGCTTGAGCATCAAAGGGTGAGTGCAATAGTCAAGGACTGTCCAATTGATGCACGTGCTGGGCTACCTCAATTGATGTAATTTGTACCAAGTACAACGGCATCAGCCCACTTTCTCACTCTAAAACAAGTACCTGGTACCCACCAGTGAGCTCTCCAGGCCCCACTTACTACTCCAGCAAATGTCCGTTGTTCCCTGAGGCACGAGTCTCCACTCGACCAATCAACGTCGTCCATTGTAGCTCGTGGCCTCAACCTTTGGAAGCACGCGACACTATCTACAACCTGGAAAGCCCTGGACGACGTTTACGGTTATATAGTCTACGCCCCTTGCTGTGCGACTTTACTACTTACACAACTTCCACTCCATTCTTCTACAATGTCACGACTTCCAACCCCAGCAATGTCGGGTGGCTTCATTATCAAGGACAAGCCCGACGGAGATGCCTTTACACTACCTCCTGCCGCCTTGAGCACTGTCAGTCGGAGGTCTTCCAGATCAGATCCTCCCTATATACCGGCATCCCCGACTTCTCCAGAGCTCTCTGGCCGCCGGACAAGTCACCCCACCCGGTCGGGTACATCTACCAAACGCCCACTTGAGGACTTTGATTTGCCTCCGCCACCAACTAGAACTCGCAAGATCATCCAGATGAAGCCAAAGTCACCTTCAAAAACTCCCAAGACAAGGGAAAATGGCAAGGGTTCACAGAGTTCAGAAGACGCTCTGCCAAATCCCATATCAAACTCTAAAAGAAAACAGCCCAGTGCCACTAGTGCCGCAGGACGCAAGATCGCCCGCAAGACCGCACACAGTTTAATTGAGCGTCGACGTCGGTCCAAGATGAATGAGGAGTTTGGGACGTTAAAGGATATGATTCCGGCGTGCACCGGGCAGGAAATGCATAAGCTAGCCATTCTTCAGGTACAGCAGGCAATTTTCTTTCGGGAATTGATGAGATACTAACTATCCCGAAAAGGCAAGCATTGACTACGTCAATTACCTAGAGAAATGTATCCGTGACATGAAGACTGGAGGATCAACCCACACCCCTGCCGCACCACTCTCACCAACATCACCCGACTTCATCGCAGAAACAGGCGAGCCCATGCAAAGGAATAGCTCCTCTACTGATTCATACTCCACATCTGCATCACCGGAGTTGAATGCTGCTCCCACCGAATTTCCCGACACGTCCCCATCTTTCTCTCCGCGCACCCAAGTTCCCTCAGCCAATATCCCACAGGATGCTTTATCGATCCTTCCTAGTCCAGCACTGGGTCCGATTTGGGCATCTAGCGAAAAGATGTTTGAGTTTCAGGGTGTTGATCACGAGGCTTCAGCTGCCTTGCTTATGTTGACTCAGGATCGAAGAGGGACCGCCGATTCGATCTGTGAGAACTTACCTGGCAGTAAGGCACTGGCAGAGTCCGTGGAAGAGACTCCAGCTGTGCCTGCTGAGATTCAAAGAAGGAAGGGCATGAGTGTCCACGACCTTCTTATTTCATAATCTCATAACTTTGTTTTTGCTTCTATTTCTTTTGGGAAATTGGTGTCTGATGCTTTTGGGAAAGGTGCAGGGGCTGTCTAATTAGCGTCATCTCAACTTAGCATCTGCTTTCAGGATTGTGCTCGGTCGACCGGTGTCTACTCTTGGCTTGTGTGTTTTTGTCACTTGACCGACCTATGAAGGATGGATGCTCCAACTTAGTGGAAAAGAAAAGATCGAAAAGTCAATAAAATTGATCATCAAAATCGTCCAAAGGCATTAATTTTCGCATTTTAATTATTTAATTTAGGGCTTGAGTCATCCCGATGAACACAGCAACTACCGAGGTTTCCCCCCTCCCCCCCCCACCAGCTATCGGGAAATCGGTAATTCACGAACGACCGATCTCCGAGCATCCGTCATCGACAGTCCCCCAGCTCGAGACTTGATCGCCAATCTATTACGAAAGTCGAGGATCAGATAAAACAAGTTTTCCTCAACCTAATTACCAAGGCCTCCCTTAAATGTGCTGGCTTGCCCGTATCTGTCTTAAGACAGCATCATGAATCAACCACGCCGATACAACGTAGAGCGATCATGTTTACGCTGCCACGAGCACAAGATCAAGTGCGACAAGGGAAAACCATGCAGCAAATGCATGCGACAGAAGGTAATCTGCCAGTATCCAGGTCCGAGCCGAGCCAAGCGCCAACCCCCGAAGAAGAGCACGACCGATGTTGCGCTTCGGTTGGGGCAGCTTGAAAAGCTAATCGCGGCGATGATCGAGGAACGGTCGAATAGCTTGGACAGTCAACCCCAAGTCCAAAATTCAAGCTTCCCGATACCGAATAGCCTATCCGTCTTTAGGCCGCCATTAAGCCACCCAGCTGTGACAGACCGCCCTGCCCACCAGGAGTTTCTAGACAAAGATGGCCGGTATATCAATGAGCCTCTCCTCTCGCGGGTGCTTGAGAAAGAGCAGGAGCTGAAGTCTGCAATTGGATCACCGATTGGCGCAACCAGTTCGCGCCGACTACCGGCGTTGAGGGCAGATGGCCTCTTCACAAACCTTCTTTCGGCTCGGATTGACCCCCATGGGCTATTTCCGAGTCGCTGGGAGGGAGTTTTTCTCTGGCAAACCTTTCTCAGCCGTGTAGATCCCTTGGTAAAGGTCATTCATGTTCCAACAGCACAATCGCACATTTTTGCTGCGATTAGCCGACCTGAGACTGTTCGTGCCGATGTACATGCTTTGCTCTTTGCTATTTGCTTCGCCGCTACAACAGCCTTGCTTTCGGATGATGCTCAGAATGAAGTTCGGCATGCCAATCTGCGACGGTATCAATGGGGGATGGAGTTGTCTTTATACCACTCCAATTTTTTGGATGCCCCAACCCTGACCTCGTTGCAGGCGATGGTCATATACCAGGTGAGATAGTGTCTTTTGGAGTTTGATTAGTCGTTCCTATACTTGGGATCACTGACATATCTTTGCTCTTTAGACATGCTTTCGATTTAGCAATAGCGGCCGGTCTGGCTGGACCTTACACGGCGTAACTTTTCGAGCTGCGCAGTCCATCGGCCTCCAGCGGGACGGAAAAAACTTTAAACTCCCACAATTAGAACGCGAGCTACGCCGAAGAACTTGGGGATACATTCAATCGGCTGATGCCCGAGTAGCAGAAGACCATGGGCTCAGCGTCCCGGAAAACGACTACGGCGACACCGAGCTCCCGCTGAATATCAACGACCAAAATTTATCAGAAACGAGCGCCGAGCCAGCCATATCGCAGAGCCGATGGACCGAGTTGACATTTACTCTAATCGTTATCGAAATTAACAGGGCGCGGCCGGCCTTATTCCGAAGCTTAGTCGGGGTAGATAATCCAGAGGGACTCATCGCCGAGTTTAAAGGCGCAATAGAGGAGAAGTACCTGCGACATAGCGACCCGGAAATCCCGATTCAGCGCTTTGGCTTCCTCCTCGGCCGGCTACTCCTCACGAAGACCGAAGTGTGCATTCGACAGAAACAGCTGCAATCACAGGGTCCGACGGCCTGCTCACTCGACTACCACCTTGTCCAACAGACGCTAGCACAGGCCTGCTATGGTGTGGAAATTGGCCTCGAGATGTGCAGCAGTGAATTGCTGCACGGCTTCCGCTGGCTTATGATGACTTATACTCAATTCCATCTCCTCACTTTTATTCTCTGGGCTCTGTGTGTTTATCCCACTGGTCCACATGTAGAACGAGCCTGGCGTGTTATTGATATCCAGTTCGAGCTGATTGATGAATCCTCTTGGCCAGACCCGGGACCCAAATGGCCGATGATTGCGCAGTTGCGGGATAAGGCGCGGCGTATCCACCAGGCGCTTGATTCTGCTGAGCAGAGCCAGCAAATTGTTCGTGACAATTTTACTGTTTGTGTGGATGGGACTGGGTCTGGGAATTATCGGCCTGAGGCAGGTTTTGATATTGATAGTTGGGATCCGAACTTTGTCGACTTTTCGGATTGGAATAGCTTGGCCCACAGTCTTTGTCTCTTGGATTGACGATGTGTTGTTTGTGTTGAAGATTCAGTGTTGGTTCAGTAAAAATTGAAGCTGGTGGACATCCCATGTACAGTCTGACAAAACCACATGAAAGAGCTAGTTCCCGGTGTGCACACCTTCAAAGGGCGCCATATTTTAATACATGGTCTATTTCGTTGTAAAGCGGTATCTCCTCAAAGACACATATTGTGACCTATCTTTTGGGATCACTTCTACCGCTCCCTCCACCGCTCCTTCGATTCATCATCTCTTGACGCGATGCGATGCATCTCAGACCGGCCAACAAATACAAACATCCCGAACTGACACTTCACCTTCATTTTCCCCCTACGTGACTTGCACATCATTCAGCAACTGCAAACATGCCGGCGCCTGACAAGGAACCGGATACCCTGCCACTCCTACTGGAAGCAATTAATAACCAACCTATCCACCGCCTGGAGGGTATTCTCCAGGACATAGTCAAGCACAGCGCAGAAGGCCGTAAAATCGCTTCAAAATGGCTACTAACAGCAAAAAATGATGTGAAATCCGAGTCAGTTGTTCCACCCTCCTGCGCTACTCCTGTCACTTCTTCCTTCCGGGATGAGGAAGAGTCCATCTCGGAGCCTAAAGCCAGTATGCCAATGACATCCCGCTTCGAAAATTGCGTTTACTGCCTGGAGGATTTTGAAGTCACTCAAAACTCGGAGAAAAGCTGTCAATATCATCTTGGTACGTGCATATGCACACCTCCCAGGTGTCCGGCAAGACATCACCAAGTCGGAACGTTACTAATCTTGCGCTAAGAGCCTGACGTGGTCGACGAGGAATATTTCAAGGACGAGATTGCCGCAGGGATTGACGTTGACAATGATGAATATCGCGAGGCTTGGCCGCACAAGTTTTTCTACCCTTGCTGTGGAATGGACTTGACTGAGGGCATGTGTCAGGTTGGTTGGCACAAGGCTGCGGACCCGGATGATCGTCCTCGCAAGCGAACTAGTAGCGATTTCTAGTTGGATTCATGGAGTTTGTCACTGGTGTTTGGGGAAGGTTTTAGGATATGCCCGTATGCTTCACATTCCCATGTAGACTGTGATCTCTGAAAATAATCTCGTTTTTCAATATCGGTTCTGTATGTATGAGTTTCTCTCCAAACTAGCTAGTAAGCCAATCCATTTCTTCCCATGATGAGAAACGTTCATAATCACAAACCTAGCTCTAATTACTGCAATGGAAAATCCGGCCGATACTCCCCCGAAGCCTCCTCATCCTCATCCAAACCATCTCGCCTCCGCTGCTCTTGCCGCTGATCCTCATCTTCTATCAACTGCCGCAGTCGTCCTACATCTGACTCCTCATCTGGCTGAATAAGGAGCAATTCATCGACCAAATCCGCCCGCCGCGAGTGACCCCGATGGCGTAAGTAGCGCTGAAATTCGGTAATCATGAGTGTGCGGAGTGTGGTTCGTTGACGGGATCCTGTTCTACGGGTGGTGTCGACGATGGCACAGAAGCGTCGATGATGGGGCCTTGTTCTACGGCCATAGACACATCCGCACTCGGGAGATGTCGTTGCAGACGTAGCTTGGGCTTGGGGTGGTTGCGTTACTGGCATTCCCGGGTTGAGCCTTGAATGATTCATCACCGCTCGAAGGAGATTCCAGCGCATTTCGTTGTGTTTCTGCCAGATGAATCGCTGCCATGGGATCGTTGGACCCACATATACCATGTTCGGGTGTTCACTTGCTAAAGGC